TTTCCTTCAGGATAATAAAGTCTTGTCTCCTCATCTTATCTGATTAGGATGCCTTTCGGTTGCCTCTCCTTGGTGCTTCGTGTAATGCCTTTGGATCTCAGAAGGAGCTTGAGTGTCACAGGAAGAGGCGTATCTGGACTTCTCTTCTTGAACCTTCTTAATAAGCTGTTGAAAATGGATGGATGGATATTTACAACTCCTTGCACATGTGGAATAGAAACCAGAGCGATGGCACGACTAAGACTGATGTCTTCTCCCATTTTCCCTTCAGAGGGAAAAGAATAGTCAAACATTCAGCTTCTAAACAATTCTGGTACAGGACTGTTCATTCTTTAAACGATCATCCTTTCATTGGTATGCTTTTTCCACATGGAGCTTAAGCACAACTTGTCTTTGTCGTTCGGATCATTTGTCATTATCAAGCAAGCAAAACGTGCCAGAAACAAGAGGTGGCTACAGGACTACTGTTGTGCCACATTTTGTGCTACTCTGTGATTATCAGCAGAGTAAAATATATCCCTCAGCTGGACCGGGCAGTTAAAGAGCTTAACAGAAAGCCCGGGGAGCTTGACAAGGGCACCATTTAGTGGGACAAATGGTTTTCCTCCAGTGTTTCCTCACATATTAAATGCAACGTGTCAGGAGTTGGGTGCCGAGGTTGAATGCAACCACGGGAGTTTCCCTCATCTCTTAGGCAACTCTCGTTTTTTAACTGCGTGTGTGCGCTCCACATGGCACATACTTAACTTTCCGAGAACGTGAAAGGCGGTGCTAAATAAATCCCGTGTTATTCTTATTCTAATCAACCCGCCGAAGACCTTTAGCTACAGACACTGAGTGAAGTCACACACACAGATGTCCTTCCTGTGTTACAGTAAAAGGGAAAGGACTCACACTGCAACCTCTCATTCTGGGGGATATGAATAGCCTGAGTTACAAGCCGCAGTTTGGTTAGCCGTAGTCTGAGACTTATTTTAGTCCCGTGTGTTTCTGCGTGTGTTTGTTTAAAGGCAAGCCCAAAGGAAAAGAAAAAAAAACTCAATGTGCAAATATTGCAATTTAAACACCTGCAACACTAATGAAATCTGTTCCATTTTAAAATTTGCATTAATTCAGTTCAGTTTATACAGTGCCAAGTAGTGGTGTAGTCTACGTTTTGTAGTGGGTGTACTGTGCTTAGAAGCCAAAGTACACCGGTTAGTACAATGTAATCATTAATTTGTTTTGATTTTTAAGCGTATTGAACATTTCAAAATTTCTCCGATGCTTAGATTTCAATAAATGTACAACAAACTTTGTACAACAGTTGGCTTTGTATTAAAAACATGTTATAGAATTTATAAAACAGTATCAAAGCAAAACATGTTCCAGTATTAAATAGTAAGTACAGAAGTGTTAATTATGCAAAAAAAACCCAAAAAACAGGTTGAACCAACTCAATGTGTCTATAAAATATTCCAAATGTGTTGACAGTGACACAAGCCCATGCATCATTGGGCACTTTTAAGTGGGTATATTGAAATTCCCAAGCTTTTCTAGTGGATATACTCAGTATACCTGCGTATCTCAGACTACACCACTGGTGCCAAGTCACAACAGAAGTTGTCTCAGAAACCATAACCTCTGTCTTGTCTGAGCTTAAAAGCTGAAAATTTAGGGTCATCCAGGTTTTTATGTCTTTAAGACATGATTCTAGTCTAAGTAAGTGATTGGATTCATTGGTTTTCATGTACAGATATAACTGAGTATCATCAGCGTAACATTTGATAAGGTCAATAGAAACATCAAAGCAAATATGTTCTTGTTTTTAGTATTTTCCTTGTTTTATTACACTACCTTTATTTTAATTGCATTTTACTATAGCTTATTGTTGTCTGTACTTTATATGTTGTTTGTCTAAAGCAGATCTCTCTTGTAAATGAGTCCTCGTGACTCAGTGAGACTAATCTGGATAAATAAAGGTTGAATGAATGTTCCCCCAGTCCTGTGCATGGATGTCTGTGCGTACACATGTAGATCTTTAAGCAAGTGCTTAAAGGTGAAAGGGGCTGATTTTTTATTTTTTTTTTGCCTGTACATGTGTAAAAAAATATTGTGTTTATCTGTTAGCAAAATACCTCATGAACCAGAGAACAGATTTGATTGAAACTCCCAGACATAATCACTAAAACTTCTTACATTTCTGGGTCAACACAATTTAAGATGGCGACCTCAACCAACCAAGCTAAAAAAACAACAACAACACTGAATATAACTCAGTTGAATGCACAGATATTGTACTAAAATTCGATGTGGTAGCTTTGATGTGGTTGACCCACATCACACAGCCTGGGTGCTCAAACATTACACAAGAACTTTGTTTTAAACTGTGCCATTAATTTATGGAGTTAAGTTTTCTGCTGGCATTAAATAGTAAAACACTGGATGGATTTTAGTGAAACTTTTCAGAACGTTATCATTGGATGTACATCTACAACAGATTAACTTTTGGAGTCAATGC